GCATCGTACCAAAGGTGAGCATGCCAGTACCCAACAATTTAATACAGACAACTGTGATATTGTTGATGTGTTATCCGGAAAAGTTTTTTTTTTTTAATCTGTTGCAAGAAAAGAGTCCAAAAAGAACCTGTTGAAAGAAGCATTTATAATTCCTGAAGAATTGGATGGCGTACATTGCTTTCATCAGCCCTCGGCACCACTTACTTTTTCATCTGTTGCATGATAATGCTGGATGAAAGTTCTTTGCATCGAGAAAAGCCTCAAGATTGCCACTTATTGTTACCATGGAACTGTGAACTCAGATGGTTTGCTCAGTTGAAATGCTTTTTATTGCGATCAATTTTTTTCCCGTTTTTTCTTTTCCTATAACAGGTGATGAACTCTTATGAAGTGGTGTACAAGGATGTACTAATGATTCTTTCAAGGCAACAGGTGATTCTTTCAAGGCAAGAGGTGTTAGGAAGTGACAGGTACTCTTCTTTGTGAGGGTGGACCTGACAATGAGGGTGTGAAGTGCTGGACCAACCATGCTGAAAATGTGGGGCTGGCATATTGTTACCTTCACCTGATGGCTCTTTTTAAAAACCTTTGCAGAATATTTCACGTCAGCAAATATAAATCCACGCTGGTTCACGTTTTTTCATTCAGCAAATAACTGTTAATACAACTGTCTTCCACAAAACAAAATGTGTCAATTTCTTGTCCAATTTCCTTCCACAAAAATTGCCCACTTTTAAGCACCACTTTGACAAAAGTTGAATATCGTATACTGAGTGGGTCACATTCTCTTCATTGATTTGTGTTGTATTTTGCCTGAAGTCTTGCCCACAGAATTGGGTGTGTTTTAAATCAAAAGGAAGGCTGCTTCATTTCTTTTTACATTCTTTGTTCAACTAAAGATTTTTGTATCTTGCTGATAACTTGGATGCTGATGGAAAGATGGATGTAATGCACCTGAGGGATCATCTCTTGACCATTGCTTGAGATAGAGATATTCATCTTATTGGAGGTTAGCATTGCAGACAATTATAAGAATCTTGAGAAACGAAGCATATTTTTGTTAATTTACCGTAAATTTTACCTTCAAGCTGTCATTTACAGAATGTACCTGACTTCAACAAGGCAGCAAATATTTGATGAAACTCACAAGTGGCACTTTCATTTTTTAATGCTGAATTTTGTTAATGTTACAGAAACTAGGTGGATAAACAGTTCAGATGAAGGCATGGAAGCACATGCATATGTGTGTTCATTCTGAGGTGGGTATATGTTATGAATGTATTGAATTTGCAGACACTCCTCATGATTTCCAATCAAATGTGATTGCGATACCAAAGTTTAGAAAGACACTGAACTGTTTTTCCCATGCATTTGGGGTTTACTAGATACTGCCAACCACACTCAGCTCCAGTTTTTGTATCTTCCTGCCAATTTCGTAAAACTTTTTCTGTGAAAAAAGTCAAAGATGTCATTTTGTGATTGCCTGCACTGTCATTCACTCAGGCACAAACTTTTTCAGGTCGTTACGTAAACTAAACAACTTCAAAAAGTTGAGCTTGAGTTTAGTGGTTATCTTTTTGTAACCTTTTCTATTTTTCTGATGTTGATGAAGATGACTTCATCCAGGGCTGTTTGCTGTGAGAGGGCTATGATGTGATGGAGCACAAGTTGATCAGACTGATGAGGTATCCCCATGGTAACATTGACAAAAGGCAACCAGTAGTCGATGATTTGAAAAGCATAAGAATGGAGTTGGCAACCTACATGACACTCAAGCACGCTTTCTCTTGCAATTAAATCCCATACTAAAATTATTGCCTCGGGTGCATGAACCTGCGACATGCGTCAATGCATCTTGTGGCAATTATTAAAGCAAGCATATCAATACACTATAGTTTATTGTTGCTTCGGATTGGTTGAACTCCATCGAAAGCAGATGATTTCGTAAACTGTAGAAATGTCAGTTTGAAGTTAAAGCATAGCTGCAATAAATTTGTATTAGACACAAGTTTTCTGCATCTTTGTACTATTTTTTTATTAATGAAAACTCTTTTTACATGGCTTTCAAGTTAAATGCACTGAAAAGTGTGTGCTTTTTAACAATATTTATCCATGCTTTTCTGGACAACTGAGGGAGCTGTTGCTGTAAAAACCATCTAGGGAAAACATAGTTCAGAGCATAGGTCTTTCTGTTCAAATTGTGAACCCAGACTTAACTGAAAACATTTCTGAGACGGGTTGAAATTTTTTTTTGCTATTCACATAACAATGAATCAGCAAAGAGGAAACAGCCCAGGAAAATCTACAAAAAGGCAGGACATTTTTTGTGTACAAACCATTGTAACATTGAGTCTTTTTCCCGAGGTGACATCACAGTTTTGCTCATGAATATGGAAATACTCTTTGGCATGAAACCAAAAAGGCATTAAAATACCCTTTGAAATAATGAAACAAAGGTTGAAAATAAAGTAATCTGATGTACAAAGGTACATTTTGAAGGTTTGTTATCACAAAAATAGATTGCAGCTAACTAGTTATGAGCAAGGCATTATTTATTGACCATTCAGAAATCCATTCATGCTTAGTTTTTGTATGCACTACTCCCAAACAGCTGGAGCATTTGTAGTAGTCTTCTTGGAATTGAGTCAATATGTTAATTTCTTCAAAGTTTCAATTTTAGTCAAATTAAAAAAAAAACTTCAATGAAATGGTCCAAAAATTTCAATTTTTCCCCAAAAGTGATTTATTTTTAGCAGAAAATAAATAAAGTTGCAAGGGATTAGCCTTGCACTTTAATTAAAATTGTGCCAGTTTCCTTTTTCTCTGATTTCCTATCCTTTTATTTTCAAACAAAATAATAAATATACAAAGGTTAACGTAGCATTTAAATAAAAATGAACAAAGATTTCAATTTTTTCCTTGTAAGTGCAAGATTAAATTTTTGAAATCCTTTAGAAATTATTTTCAAAAGAAAAGAAACATATTGCCATCATCTATGGGGCATTTAGATTGTAATTTTAATGAAAAATCAAAAGTCAAAATTTTTGAAAATATCGCAAGGGGTTAGCCTTGCAAAATAAGTAAATTTTGGCCAAAATTTGACTTTTCTCCAAATCATTTAGAAATCATTTTCAAGGGAAAAGAAACATATTTCCATCATCTACGGGGCATTTAGATTGCAATTTTAATGAAAATTCAAGAGTCAAAATCTTTGAAAAAAATGCAAGGGGTTAGCCTTGCAAAATAAGTAAATTTTGGCCAAAATTTGACTTTTCTCCAAATCATATAGAAATCATTTTCAAGGGAAAAAAAACATATTCCCCGTCATCTACAGGGCATTTAAATTGCAACTTTAATGAAAAATCAAAAGTCAAAATTTTTGAAAAAAATGCAAGGGGTTAGCCTTGCAAAATAAGTAAATTTTGGCCAAAATTTGACTTTTCTCCAAATCACTTAGAAATCATTTTCAAAGAAAAAGAAGCATATTTCGATCATCTATGGAGCACCTAGATTGCAATTTTAATAAAAATTCAGGATTCAAAATTTTTGAAAAATCGACAAGGGGTTAGCCTTGCAAATAATGAAATTTTGGCCAAAATTTGACTTTTCTCCAAATCATTTAGAAATCATTTTCAAGGGGAAAAAAACATATTCCCATCATCTACAGGGCATTTAGATTGCAATTTTAATGAAAAATCAAAAGTCAAAATTTTTGAAAAAAATGCAAGGGGTTAGCCTTGCAAAATAAGTAAATTTTGGCCAAAATTTGACTTTTCTCCAAATCATTTAGAAATCATTTTCAAGGGGAAAAAAACATATTCCCATCATCTACAGGGCATTTAGATTGCAATTTTAATGAAAAATCAAAAGTCAAAATTTTTGAAAAATCGGCAAGGGGTTAGCCTTGCAAAATAAGTAAATTTTGGCCAAAATTTGACTTTTCTCCAAATTACTTAGAAATCATTTTCAAAGAAAAAGAAACATATTCCCATCATCTACGGGGCATTTAGATTACAATTTTAATGAAAATTCAAGAGTCAAAATTTTTGAAAAATCGGCAAGGGGTTAGCCTTGCAAAATAAGTAAATTTTGGCCAAAATTTGACTTTTCTCCAAATCACTTAGAAATCATTTTCAAGGGAAAAAAAACATATTCCCATCATCTACAGGGCATTTAGATTGCAATTTTAATGAAAATTCAAGAGTCAAAATTTTTGAAAAATCGA